CTATTGTCCTCATTTGTAAGTCGCTTTGGATAAAAGCATCTGCTAAATTACTAAATGTAAATGTAAATATCACTATTGAACATTAATATTAATTGAACATTAATTATGCATTTGTAACTGCAGGTTAGCTGCACTTGTCCTGCATTAAACAGTCTGTGTAAATGCATCTAAAGGGCCTTTCGCACCGCTTTAGTTCCAGAACTAAATGTACAGTACTAAAGTACTGGGACAATTTTGCGCGAGCTATTTCCCAGTACCATTTAAAGGGTTGCATTCACACTTCAGATGCAGATTCTGTCACCTCTGCATTGCAAACACAAATTTTGTTGATACTGATTTCATGTGATTGGTAACAGTTCTATAATGTCTTACTATTTGAACTGAATTTATTGATAAGAAGAATTTGAGACAAACGTTGATGCATACATTTAAAAAAGGTAGAAAAACAGTTGTCCTTATAAAGGTAAAAATGCCCATAAAAGGTAAAAATCAATTTAAACTTATTGGAAAAGTTACTGCTACAAACTAACCATGGCAAAGAATATGAGGAATATCAAAAGCTTTGTCTAAAGCTGCCAAGTTACCAGCACAATAACACGCTCAGCAAAATATCTTCTAATTATCGTTATCGACAAAATTCTAGAAGATATCGAGATATCATTTTTTGTCATTATCGCACACCCCTAGGTGTATGTGATTTTTGGGACATCAACATTTGTGCACCTATTCAGTAAACAGCCAGCATAACTCAGCAGTGAGATGACTTGATCAGCCTGTTAAAGTTTAACAGCTGACAAGCAGGGTCACAAGCATCCACTCCAACCTTGTTTTGCGAATGCACATGATGAAAATCAGTGGAAACAGGTTAGTGGGTCGATTAGTGGGGCTTTAGTTTCTGGCAGTGCTGCACTTGACAAGCCAGCTATCCCACCCTATAGCAGAACAACAGGACTGCGTTCTCTTCAGGCTCTTTCAGCAGGTGTCCCACATAGCAAACAGGTTATCTGTCAATGTGGGAGGTTTATAGACCGTTTGTTTTGGAGCTAACAGCTGTTAAAGCACGAGTTGATATTCTGGGTAACACTGTGCATCCATACCAGCCTTTTGCCGTTCATCACCTTAACAGCTCGCTGTTAGTCACTAAAGGCCTGAAATACTTCAAGCAAATTTGAAGTATAAATGGTGTGATGCCATTTTGACCAAAATCTGGTCAAAGGTAAGGTGTTTGAGTTTGTTCTGCTGGTTAGAAACAGCTAGCTGGCGCAGAATTTAGTACCGGCTGTTAAGACACCCTTCTAACTGCAATTTGTCCAATATCTTATCAGGCTAACCGTATATATTGCTATTAAGATTAAGTTGATTAAAATAATGATTAGTTTTGCTTGGAATTTTAAGATAACATAGTTTATATTTTAAATAACCATGTGGAAATTTTTTGTTTTCTTTACAAATGTACTTTCTCATTTGATTTTTGTTATTTATTTTTTTTATGTGGAACTCAATAGAGAAAAAAAAAAAAGATGAATCACAAGTTTAAAACTAAAGACTCAAAACAGTCAAAGTAATAAAAAGGATTGTTCTGAGGCTCTGAAAATGTCAGATGAGCTACACATGAAGCTAATGCGCTTTTGATAGACATTAGTTGAATACTATCATGTGGCAAGTTGTGACATTGCTAGGAAGCCATAATCAACATAAGCTCCATATAAACACCATGTTCAGTCTAACAGATTTTCTTCAGCTATTACTCATTGTTTCTATTTTGCTATGCAACCCTCTACATTGCGAGTAAATCACTCGCATATGCGACTAAATCTTCACTCTGGGCGACTAAATGATGTCTAATATTAGCCAATTGCTAATAAATTCTCAGAGTTTACTCGCCAGTGTGTGAGTTGGAGGCTAAGTATAAGTGTAGCACAGATATATTTTCACTCGCCGAACACTCTGACTGAGCGGATCAGAGTTTCACTCTCCGTCAAGCGATCTGTGCTATTTTTCAGTTCATCTGAATGGATGGATGTGCAGCGCACCTGTATTTAGCGTACCGTAAACTCTAGTGTGAAGGCGCACAACTCGCCGTCGCTTTGTTTCACACACGCAGCGAGAGAGGTAGAGAGAGAATTGACGCGCTACCTATGCGCGCTACATTTAAACGATATTCTTTGTTGTATTTTGCTGTCAAAATAACGGAGTTCCTTTGGAATTCTTCCGCTTTTAAGAACTACCGCTTTCTCCGGTAGTGGGCGGAACTAATGCGCAAACGACAATCTCATTGGCTGGCGCTCACCTATTATCGTCCCTGTTTTGATTTCAGCGAATCAGTTCGAGCAAATGCACACAACCTGATTAATGTTCATGAATCCAGTAGCTCATTAATCCTTGGTGCGTTTTATATTGTTCTTATTAGTAGAATTCGTATCATTATTATCTTATCA